CTTTAGTACGGTGGCTGCCCCCTTGACATATCTAACACGCCTTGACACCCCATGGGAATGGACTGATGATTGCAAGAGAGCCTTCAAGCGATTGGAGTATGCTTTCATGCATCATGAGGTCCTTATGCTCCCTAATCATGAAAAGCCATTCATTGTTACTACTGACGCAAGCCAATATGGCATTGCCGTAGTGCTGTCCAGCAAGAGGGGGAAAAGTTGAGGCGGATTGAGTACATAAGCAGAAAAATGCCATCAAAGAAATTGGTGAAATTGACCTATGAGAGGGAGCCATGGATTTCATGGATACCTTGGTGACCACCAAAAGTGGCATGAGACGTATCTTTGTCATAGTAGACCGGTTTACCAAGTTCGCTAGAGTAGTTGTAATGCTAGAAACGGCAAAGACTGAGCACGTCATCAAGTTATTCATGGATAACTGGGTGCGTGATTTTGGACTGCCCAAGTATATTGTCCGTGATAGAGATGTCTGTTTCACCATTGAGATGTGGAAGAAAGCGGCTGAACAGATGGGCAGCCAACTCCAAATGACTTCAGGAAATCATCTTGAAGCAAATGGCTAAGCGGAGCACATAACCCCGTAGTACAGCACCTGCTGCGGCGTTACATCAAGCCCAGCCAGGAGGACTGGGACGAGAAACTTCCTCTCATCGCCAGCCTGTACGATAACACAGTTCACAGCACCATCGGTGTCTCTCCAAATGAGCTGCACTTGGAGTGAAAGCCTAAATCGGCACTAGACTTTTCTCCTTCCTGAAAACCAACCAGCCGCAACTCCTGGAACCATTGAATTTGGTGTCCAGTATGAGAAGCTGTTGCAGCAGTCTGCCAATCAGATCAGGAAATCTCAAGAGGCTATGATAGCCTCTGAGAACAAACACAAACGACAGCCCATTATAGGTAGGAGAACGAGTATGGGTTAAGGCTAGCGAATTAGGACAGGAGTTCGGCATCTCTAGGAAGCTAATGCCTCAGTAATTGGTCCTTGAGAAGTCTTGGATATCGTGGGTAGCGATCCAGATGGTCCCTCCTTTGTGATTAGAATCCCTGGTCACCTGCGCGCTTACCCTGTCTTTCAGGCTTCCAAGCTTGCGCCTTTCACTGAGACTGACAAGTTACCATCAAGGAGATCATTGCTGCCCGCAACCATGGATGTGGATCATCGAGACCTGCCTGTTCCTGTGCTGCATGACACAATTAAAATCTAGGTGTTTTATTTGGAAGAAAGAGATTTAAAATCTAGGTGTTGGAAAGGAATACTCAGAGCTTGGTGTAAGATCTTACCAAAACGGTAGAGTGGAGCCACCCTTAGGGTAGATAGGAGTGCATGCCTAAAACATCACTCCTATCTGTCCCAAGGGATGTTAAATAAATAAATAAATAAATAAATCTTACCAAAACAGTTCAGGTCTTCTAGGTCCAAAGAATCACATTTTAAATTTTAAGAGGACCAATCTTCGAGAACGAGGCAATAAACTCTCAGCCTCCTATGTCCAGAGATTGCATTTTTAAACACCAGTACCTTTCTCAGCTATCGATGCCAAACCTTGCCGAGCCTCCCGCTACTGGTAGCCGCTACTGGTAGCGGGGCTTTCTTCGCTTTTTAAAACATGACAAACAAAAACAAGGAGGGAAAAAAACAAAAAATGAACGACGAAAGAAAACCCACAAAAAATAAATGTGCAGGGGGGGGAAGGGAGAGAGAGAGAGAGAGAGAGAGAGAGAGAGAGAGAGAGAGAGAGAGAGAGAGAGAGAGAGAGAGAGAGAGAGAGAGAGAGAGA